GTTGCCAGTATAATACTGGCGACAAACATGTAATGAGTACTCTGTTGCCAGTATTATACTGCCCAGTGAGCAAGAAGTTGTCCAGATATATGCAAAACCCCTCCAAAATGGGTCCAATTCTGATCCAAAAATCCTCCAAAAGTAGTCCAAAAGTTTTGGCCTAAGTCGGACTGCAGCGGACTACATATTTTGGAGAAATTTTGGATCACATTTGAATCCCATTTGGAGGGGTTTTGGAGCAGTTTCAGAGGGACTGGGGATACTTTTGGACGGAATTTGGATTTGTTTTGGAGGGATTCGGGATACTTTTGGATGGAATTTGGATTTCTTTTGGAGAGACATTGGATTTAAATTGGAGGGAATTTGGAATAACTTTGGAGGGAATTGGGAATAGTTTTGGAGAGAATTGGGAATAGTTTTGGAGGGAATTTGGATTTATTTTGGAGGGACTTTGGATTCAAATTGGAGGGACTTTGGATTCAAATTGGAAGGAATTGGGAATAATTTTGGAGGGAATTGGGAATAATTTTGGAGGGAATTTGGATTTGTTTTGGAGGGACTTTGGATTCAAATTGGAGGGAATTGGGCATAATTTGGGAGAGAATTGGGAATAATTTTGGAGGGAATTTGGATGTGTTTTTGAGTACATGTTTGTTCTCAGCTCAACCCCACTTTCTCCATGAGAAAGACTCTCTCCACTGTCAGTGGGTTAAAAAAATTCAAATTGCATGAGTTTTTGTCAGTCCCTGTTGAAAATGAAAAAAAGGAATGATTAAGTAAGGTACTGTGCTCTGTGTCTGTCTGGGCTTGCAACCAGCAGATTATCTTCCAAGTATGGGGATTAGCTCCATCTTGTAAGATACTCTGGCCACATTACAGTATGAGTGGATAGATGGAGAAAAGATGGAGGACAGAAAAAAGAGAAGAAATCCACATACAAGCAGATGTGACTCCAAGGGAATTAATGGCTGAATGTTCCAATCAAAACTGTTGACAGACAACTCAGAACTGATTAACATAACAGTAGTCATCAAAAAGTGCATATTTTGAAAACATTATGACATTTCTGAGACAGAAAATCATTTTATTGAAAAACTCAGCATCAGCATAATGGACACATTTGAATACCACATGCAAGCAGCCAGAATTTCAGAGAAGTCTTCTAAAAGAAAAAATATTAGAAATGATCAAAATAAGAGACATCATGAAGCGCAGCCTTAAGAAAACATTAAGAAGTTCTGGATTGAAAAATGATTTCATTGCGTAACTCAGTTTCAGCACGATGGACATGTATGAAAACCTCTTACATGAAGTCAGAAGTCCTCAACACTTGAAAGTATTCTCAAACTAAATGTCACAGATTATTGAATGTACAAATGAATATAAACGTATACCAAAAACAATTGCAGCGGCATGGTTCAACTCATGCATGGATTACAATTGTAATCAAAACTTTGACGGGCTCAAAAGATGATATTCAACTTCTTCATGTCCTGGACTCTGTCCCTCATCAAAATATTCCAACCCTATATATCAGAGATTTGAATAAAAGATGAAATAAAAATGGATTGCAAGGCAGAAGGCAGTGCCAGAGGGATGAAATATGGGAGAATTATTACCAATACATTCGTCATACGCATGTCCTTCACCAAAAGCCTCTTGTTGCATGCACCCTTCAGCAATATTGCCTTCTTCCGCAACAGCCTCTGGTTCATTGCACCCTTCAGCAATATTGCCTTCTTCCACAACAGCCTCTGGTTCATTGCACCCTCCAGCAATATTGCCTTCTCCAACATCATGACCAAGTGGCTTGCTTTTCCGACAGCCTGTTTACATCAGTCATCTTGAAGGTGTATAAGTCATCTCATTTAAACAAAGAAACCAACCCTTCTTTTGCTGCTGGATTGGTCGATCTTTGAGGGGGTAGACATTTGTCAGCCTGACCCGTCTTTCCACTGGCTGGTTTGCCTTCATCTTACGAGTTACAAGGTCAACAGCACGGTCTTGTGTTCGTCCAATAATATGCATTGTTAAAGCCCGCAATGTAGCATTGTTGCTTCCAGAGTACAGGTAATTTTCTGCCATCTTAAGAAAATTTTCTGCACAGCTAAACTCAGCACAACCCTCTTCATTGTTTTGCTTGAGTGCTATAATGCCAGCTAACAAACCTGGAACAAAACAAAATTTTTGGAAAGGCTGAGGCTAGGAATACTGCATTTACTTGCACTACCAATGTGCATTTTCTTGGAAGAAGTTACCAAAAATCGGGTTGCATATCTTTCTCTAATATACTACCATATTTACTTGAGTACCATGTGCACCTTTTTTCTAGAAATTGAGGCAGACAAATTGGGTGTGAATGGTACTCAGGGATAGATTTTAGGAAAAAATTCCCAAAACCTGTGCCCCTCACATCCAAGTAAAAACAAAAATTGAAGAGGAAATGTGTGGAGCCAAGTTTCTTCCTGCATGGGGAATACTGTATTTACTTGAGTACCTAACACCCTTGAGTAAGGCCGCACAGGGGTCTTTAAGTTGGAAATTTGGCTAAACTTGTATCCCCTAGTAAGAGGCGCACCCCAATTTTTAGTGAATCTAAAACCACAAAATTTCATTAATAAAAACAGAAATTTGACTTCAGACATGAATTGTACAAAAATCTGGTTAATTTTCAACTTTTTCAGTACAAAAAAGTTTTCTTGTTAAATTTTTTCCAAATTTCTCCATTGTAATAAAGTATAATGCACACATAACTTCCCAAAACTTTTAGAAAAATTTGTATCTGCATATGATGCGCAACCCTTTTTTTATTCTGAAATTTGAGAAATAAGGTACCTGCAGTTCTTAAGTAAATACCGTAATTGCTCAATTTATTTCATCTGTTGGAGATGCAACTGGAAGTAAAGGAATAATGGAGGGAATATTCACTTAATTGAGGAAGCTTTCCTATATTCTAGATGAGATAGTCTGCACACAAAAATCCTGCTCAAATTCAAGATTTTCATTTTTACATTCTTCAACTTACGAGTGAGAGGGTTGATCAAGAGATGATTAAGCTTGGCCAAGAAAACAGGCGTCTGGCCAGCATCACAGGGAGTAGCCCTTGGTACCATGAGGCACTTGAATCGTAGAAATTGTAGGGTGAAGACAGCATCCACAGCACTTTGAATGGCAGTCTTTTCATCCTCCTGATAAAAATGCTTGAAGTAGTACTCAAACTGTAAAAAAATTCAAATATTTTCAAGTAGAGACCAACTATAAATGTAATACACATACAAGTGCCTTTTGAACCCTTCTGTCATTTTTCAGCTTTCTTTCCAATTCTTCCACATCAGTAATTTCAGAAAGGGGAAAGCCAAACTCCTCAGCATTAGTCAGGACTGGTTCCATGCTACTGGCTGAATCATGCATGGCACATTGGTTCACATTATTTATAGGAACTTTTGGAGTTTCTCTATAAGCCTGGAAAGCTTCCTGCAACTCTTTAAAGTTTACTTGAAGCTCTTCAACTTTGTCTTCAAGCTTTTCATTTCTGCTTTGAAGCTCTTTGTTGTTGGTCTGAAGCTCTTCAATGTCAGCTTGCAGCTTTTCCACATTTGCCTGAAGCTTGGCAAACTGAGGTTGCTCCATTTCAGTGTGAGTATGAGGTTTATTTTGCACACAATTGAACCTTTGTGCATTTTTGCCACAGTCATCATTTGAAGAGATGCTGTGATCATCCTCTGCTCTTGAAGCCTCAGAAGATGTATCTTGGCTGTCATCTGCAATACCAATTTAGCGTTTGATTCAATTTTGCTTTGCTTGGCTTCAGCATTACACCCAGCATATTTTTTCCATATTTATTGCTCAGGGATGCATGAACATACAAGAAATATCTGTTATTACATATTCTTGAATATTCACTATTAAGTTCTTAAAATGGACATCATTGAAGTGCTTAAAACTTGGGGTTTTGTCATTCACTCCTTGATTAAATCACTTTGTGAGCTGGAGCTTGGGAACAACTGGGTTGATACATGTTAGACATTTTCAGACTTGAGCAGAGTTTTTTAAATCTTTTGATAAAATGATATGAAATTATAACATTGAATAAGGTACCATAAAATGGAATATTGCATTTTTTTCTTTGAGGGTTTTCAGTTAAACAGAGCATACCATCATCATGCCACTGCTGAAGTTGAACTGGTGGTGGCAACCTTTCCTTCATGTCTTCCACAGACTTCAACGTGTCTCGTACCTTGGCATTCTTCAAAGCTACAGGGCCCAAAGCTTGGGAGCCACTGGCCACTTTCCTGATGTACCTTTCAACATGATGAGAAGAGTTTCCCTCTTTTGCTATTTTAGCAGTTGTAACGTCCTTGATCTGCGTCATCCTTTTCTTGTATATTTTCCTCTTCTTCTCATCTGAGAACATAAGGAATACTACATTCACCATGTACCTTGTGAAGTATTCATGCTACAGTTTGATGTTTATGCATGCTCTTGATAAACCCGTGTGCAGCAAAGTTGGGATATTTTGGCAAAATTTTGTGCCACTGGGCATTGGGAATGAAAAAACCTAATTTTGTGTGAATGCACACGTGAGTCAGGATAAAGTTTGAGGTTTATTTCTAATCCTGCAGAAAAATTTCATTGAAAATTTTAAAAAACCCTTCACTGCATGCTGGGAGGCATTTTTTCCAGCATTCGTGGCATAGGATTTGCATGGGAAAATCTAGAAAAAAAATTTGCCTCCTGAATTTTTTTCTGACTTAAGCCTCCTCAACCTGGGCGCATTTCAGTAACCTTGGGTCAAACTGAAATGTGCAGCCCCCAGGAAATATCCCAACTCTGCCTTGCACTGAGAAAGAAACCTTTGCTGTTCAAGGGTTAATGACTGAAATCAGTAGCCAGGAAATGGAAAATCAGGTATCAAGTGGAACCCTATTGAATTATTGTTCTGCATAACCAGATGTTGTAATTTGTGGAGGTTATGCAGAATCATGATTGAATCCAGGTTCATGAGGCATGTGGTCAACTGCTGATGTTACCATATTTTGAACATAACATAATTTGACATAACATATAACATGGTAACATATTTTGAATTTCCCTATTAATAGGGAAATTCAAAAATCAGTGATCAAATGTAATATTTTGGCAAGTTGAAAACAAATGATACTTCTAATGGAAAGAAAAGGATGGAGAGCAAATTTGGATTGTACCTTGCAATTGTTCAGTGAGGGGAAGTGGAACACTCCGTTTCCTGATGGAGCCTCTCCCAAATACTTCCCCATCACTTGAAGGCAATTCCATGCGGAGATCTGCATCCACCAGGGAATACATCCACTTTATGGCAGAGTCATAATCAGGTCCAAACTCTCGAAAAGTTAAACCTGAGGTAGGCAAGTGAATATTGTTCCATGTGAATCACGAGAATGCACGAAGTGTGATACGGCAAAATTCCTTTTCAAATGTTTCATTCATGATATTACTGTATTTACTCAAGTACCCTGCGCTGTCAAGTAAGGTGTGCACAGGGGTTTTTCAGTTCAAAATTTGGCTAACATTGTATCCCAAAGTAAGAAGCGTTCCATTTTTAGGGACTCTGAAACCACAAAATTCTGAAAAGAAAAAGAAAAAATCTGACTTTTGATGTGAATTGAACATGAATCTGATCAATTTTCAAATTTGTCAGTAAAAAAAGGTTTTCTTGGTACATTCGACACAAATATCTCCATTATAATCCAGTATAATTAATACACAACTTCCTAAAACTTCTTGAAAATTTTGAACCCGCTTATGAGGTGCTTTTTTTCTTCTGAAATTTTAAAAAAAGGTGTGCGGGGTACTCGAGTAAATATGGTATATTTAATCACCATAACTTTTTGCAAGGATGAATCAATTCATGCTTTCTTACTTGATTTGGAATGGCTGTACTCCGTAAATGCTGAGGTTGGGAGTGGAAAATTGGCAAAATTCTGCAGCACCATGCTTCTGGAGCATTTGGGAGACTCCAAAAAGTCCTCTCCACGCAAATATAAAATTTCGGAGTTGCCACTTGCATCAAACTTCCAAAGAGGAACTTTCAAGGGCCAAAGCAACTTTGTCTCACACGTGGACAAGTAGGATTTCAGCCCCAAGGATGCTGTTCTGCTATGCTTAGTAGATGCACCTTCAGTTCCCCTGGTCTTCTCTACAAAAACTGAGAAGTTTAGAGGTATCTCCTTGAGTTCTGCTGCTGTGAACCCATCACAGTAATTATATGTCCCACAGTGCTGTAATACAAGGCAAAATGATTGTGTTATTTATAAGTAAAGCACAAAACGACTTTTCAATTAATGGATGGCAGAGAGTTAGATATCATTGTATGAAGGAGCCAGAATTTTTGCAGGCTATTTTACTTTTGTTTGACCAAATGTCACAGAAACACTGACTGATTCAAGTAGTCAAAGTTCAGGAAAACTTTAGCAGGATGAATACAGTTGTTTTCCCAGGCACCTCATGCCAATCCAGAGGCAGAACAGCAAAAAACCCAAAATCCTACAGAATTGCTATGAAAACATTGTCTGTGTCTAAAGTTGGAAAAAAAGTCTCAGAATTTCTGGCCTTTGACTACATTGAACAGTCATAACTGTCTTAAATATTGGCCATCATATTCCCAGTTTGTTTTGAAAATTTCTTTGAGCCACCCCAGAAGTTTTTAGGACTGGGTTAGTGGATAAAAAATATCATATTCAAGGTTGAACTTGACTAACCTGCTTTTTCATCCTCATGAGCATGAGCTCAGCCAAATTTGGCATCAGCACTGTTTCACTCATGCTGATTATTCAAAATGCTTGTGAACACTGAAGTCTGAAAATACAAATAAAATGGTTTTATGCAAACTATCACAAAACAGAAGATGGAGATCAGTTCCATTGAATTGTACATAATGAATGCATGAAACCAGCACATTTTAGTGCAAAACAAAGAATACTTTCTCAAGCACAATTCCATATTCACCAAAACAGGATAAACCCATGTAACACCATGAAGAGACAGAGAACAGTTGTAAACAACAGCAAGTTCAGTACAGTGATGCTCCAAAATCTTCAATATGCCTGATACCCACTCCATACCATCTTGGAAAATCCACCAGATCTTTGCTTTTACAAGGTTCACACTCAGCCATAGTGAACTTGTAGCATTGCTGAAGGTTATCATCATTTGTGAAAATATTGCAGTTAGGAACTGCATAAATCTTTGCAATAACTTCATCAGGCCTGAAGCGTTGTACCTCAGATTGTTTCTTGGAAAATTCAAAAACACGGAATTTTGATGATGCAGTTGGTTCTTTCCACAAGTTTCGCCAGTAACTGTAAATGTGTCCCAGAATGATGATACCACAAGAACCTTCTTCAATCCCAGAAACTTGGACAATGAGAAACTTTTCCTTGGATTTCTCAGCTGACATCAGACAGAAAGCATCTTTCACATTTGCTTTCAACTGGAAACCTCCTAAAGACGTTGGAAACATTAGGATTGGCAGCTTCAGACACTTATTCTTCACCAAGTAACACTTGTTGGCTGGGATATCTTCCATACTTCTTTCCGACAGAGGTGTCTGGCTCAAAATGAAGTTGTTCACCATGGGCAGCATGTGCTGTAGCCTTTCATCCTCTCTTCTAATTATCTGCTGAATTACATTTCGATGTGAGTGCTTGTCACGTATGATCCGTTTCATGGCATTTTCAAATGGCCAAGCACCAATTCGATCCATGTGACAATGTTGCTTAGCCAAGTCCTCTGTCAAATGCAGAAACATGTGCATTGTTGGAGGAACTGACTTGGAGAAGTGGCAATGAGTAGCAGTTGAAACAAAATTTTCAATCAAGTTCTGGGCCTTGCGTAAGTTTGCAGGGGATACAGGCTCTGATGAAGCTCCTCCCAAAATATACAGTGATAGCACAAACACCTTAAGCAGTTGGAAAATGTCAGGGGGTACAAGACCATGAAATACAGGAATAGCCAAGTACATCACAAAATGTCTCATTGCAGCTGCCTTGTAATTCAGGATGCTCATGAGTGGAAGAATTGCTGATGACTTGAACTCTGATGGGGCTAGGTTGCGAAAAAACTCAACCCTCTGAGCAAGTGCCTTCAAAACCAATGGATGTGCCTGCAGTGAGTGCTCATGCCTTGCTGAACCAAACAGAAGCTGCTTGAAAAAATGCTTTGCAACACCATGGTACACAGTGTGCATTGTATCAAATGGAAAGTCTGTAACCATTCGAAAGTCAGGAATTCTTGTTAATGCTGACAACTTTGTCATACTTTTCAAGTGCTTCTTGTCAGTGCTGAATTCAGAATCAGTGCGAAGGTGTAGATCACTGAACTTCCAGATGCTCATGAATGCACCAAACTTCTTATCAGCCTTTGTGTGACACTTCTCACATGGGTATGATGAGGAAAGTCCAAGGACTTGCTTACAATCAATCCGTGCAGGACTATCACACACAAACAGACTCTCACAAGTGAAGTCAGGAGATCCTATGCAGATATTCTTTGGATGCATCAGCTTCAGTTCATCTGCTAGGTCACTGAGGAACTCAACAAAGCACTCAGGTTGCTTAGATGCATGGTATAATGCCACAAACAAGGGTGGGTTGTGGCCTCTTGGTTTGACCATCTGTTCCCCATACCCATCAACATTAAATGAGTGAACCTGCATACTTATGGGCCAAACACTCCGCAGACTGCCAGACTTTCCAATTTCCAGGCCATCCACATTTATGATCAATTTGAAATGAGGCTTTCTTGTATGGAGCAATGAATCTTCTCTGAATGGTTCACCAGTGATCATGCCATAGTACTGCTTCAACCTCTTCTGTATACCAATGTAACAGTATTGGCTGTCTTTTTTTGTATTCAACTGCTTCATTTTGTAATTTGTATACGTAAAATGATTCTTGTTGCGCTTGACAAGTGTTGACCACCTTTTTGGCAGGGACTGGAACATAGGATGACTGTTGTTCTTCCTCAGCATATCCATCAACTTTTCTTTGTCTCGGGCAGACAATGCAGCAGCTACAGTCAACCCCCATTGGCGCAAAATAATGTGAAAAGGTACATCAGGGCACTCATGGGTCAGTGAATAATCTGGACTTGTAACTGCAGAATGTAGAGGTCTATTGCCATGTTGTGCCTCAAGCCACTCACATTCTTCATAATCAGCATTGTAAGCAGTGTTTGTTGGTTGCCCAACAGTTATTGTCCCATCATAGAATGAATCATCAGACAATTCTGATTCACTTTCTAAGCCACCTTCCAGAAGATTTTGAGAGAGAAGATTGGAAGATGAATCCATCACCATCAAATCAGCTGAATGTGGAAGTGCTGGTATAAGTTCGGCATTCTGTGCAGGCAAAGATCCAATTTGCTGACAAGTGGGCTGCTTTGTGTCAACCATTGTACCAGAATCAACTTGCAGAAGAATTTGTTTTCCTGCAGAACACACTGAGCCAATTGTGGAATGCTGTCCAGGCATTGCTGACATCCTAAAACTGTAAAAGACCTTTTCTGCTTGCAGCCGGTAGTGCCTCTGGGTTCGATCACACAGCTCCTCCCATGGTTTTTCAGGATTTCGAATTTTGATAGCAGCTACATCTTGAAGGAATTTGCGACACATCTTCCTTTGACCTCTGAAGTAAAACATGGGCTCTGCCATAATTGTCTGCAAAATCAATAGGTGGATAGTGAAAATTTCATCACTTGTGCTCTCAACATTCACTGTATTTACTCAAAGCACACACATGTGGCACAGGTGCCTTGTTTATTTTTTAAGCACCAGTCCGCAAATATTTCTTGCAACAAAATATTTTACCCTCAGATGGCGTAAGATTCATCACCATTTTGCAGCAGCAAAAAGGTTTTTATTTAGGCTCACATGTTTTGGTGTGATCAAAGTTCACACACCTGCTTGTTGAATTAGAAAGCCAAGGCCCAAGCACTCTTTGGAAGGAAGTTACTCAAAGCTTCTGGAATATCCCATGTTTTCTCCAAATTTGCACAAACTTCTCAGAAAAATTTATTTAGAATGATTGTTAGCTTATAAACTCTGCTTCTTATCCATAGTAAATTTATTGATTTTCTCATTTTTTTTAGAAAGTCAGCATCATTTTCATTCTACATGACTTTCAAATGCGCCTCAAATCTTTTTTTCAAAATTGTTTACCCAAGCATGATGGGTGCCTGCTTTTTTCTTTGGTGCTTGAAAAATCACCAACAAAAAATGCACATTTAGTGTTTGAGTAAATACAATGCAATCCCGGATTCTGCATATGGTATTTGAGTAAGTACAGAGCAATGAAAAAAACAGAAACAAGACACTTACTTTTTCTTACAGATGATCTTCCAGTTTTTTGAAGTGGGAAATTAGACCCACTCAGAGTTTGGCAGTTGTTTGCAGCACAGATCTAGTGATCTGGAAGAGTATATTAGAACTTCCATGCATCATCCAGCTGATTGAGATAACCATTGCAGAGGAACTCACCAGTTTGGCAGACAGAGATGAACTAAATTGATACTGCAATGTGCATCAAATTCTGGGAAAGTCCAGGTTTTCTGAAAATTTTCCTGAAATTTGGGAATGCAGAATGTCATTGACATTTTCCATACCCATACAATATTTTTCTTACAGATTGATTTCTACTCAGATATTGCTGCAGTCAACATATTAACCCAAATTGTAATACTTTTCAAATGCAAGGCTTCATCAATACCAAAAACTTTGCAGATTTTGAGTAAAGTAAACAATCACTGGTTAAATGAAAAGAATGCATAAAAATAAAAATTTTTCTCTGGAGGTGCTTTAATGTCTTCTGCACAAGCATGCAAATTTAATATTTTGTTCCTCCTTTATAGTAGACAGGTACATTGGTTTTTTGTCTCTTTGTTTTGTTTTCAGAAAAATGCCAATTTTTGATAATTCTGATTTCTAGTTTTCTAGTGGTAAAAATTCATTGAGCAACAGCTGTAACTTGCCATATATGAGGGTTCTAACAAAAGTTCTTGGAGTAGCAATGAAAATGGCTTACAGTTGACCTGACACAAATTTTTTTCTTTAGGGAAAACAAATTCTTTGGCACATGAAAAAATATCAGCTTTGTTTGACAAATTTTTTGAATTTTTTCAATAATTCACCCTTGTAGAGTTTTACTTGTAAGGTTTTACTTCTGGAATGGATTTTTTCAAGCCTTACACCTTGAATTTCTTATTTAATTTACAGCAGAGTTTCAGGAAATGAAATTTAGATCAATTGAATAAAACACGGCAATTGGTCGGGCGCGAACCGACCGGGATTTCTCCCAACTAGCGCAGACCTTTCTTTTCAGAGCAAGCAGTAAAAAATGGTACAAAGCACACAGTACACAACAGGCAAATAAAATAGTTCACATACACACGCACTTGGTTGCAGATTATGACAGGTATTCACAAAATCTTTGGTATAAATGTTTTCCAGTGATGGAAAAGAAAGAAGGGGAATTTCAGGTCAGATTTTGGGGAATCTTTGGTCAGATTCTGGGGAATCTTTGGTCTGAAAATTTCCAGTGATGGAAAAATAAAACAGGGTCCAAACACTCAGAAAGACAGGGTGCAGACAAGATCAACTAAAAACAAAGAAGAGGCTTGAGGAGAATTTCCGAATTTCCTCAGAGTTTTCCTTTTGATGGTTCCGAAATTTCTCTAAGTCCGAAAATTTTCCCGAATTTTCTCAAGTCCGAAGATTTTTGCGAGATTGGCTTAGTTTAAGAATTGGGTTTTTCGCAGGGTTTTCAAAGTTTGACTGACTGGCTTTGCGCAAAACTCAGGAGTATTTATGCAAATTTTGCGCCAGTTTTGGCGGGTCCTTCTTGGTTACATCTTCTGAAAAACACCAGGTGGTGGCGTCTGTTGTCAACTATTTTGCAACTTGATTTCTACAGCTCTTTTACAAGGTTCAGTGCATGTTTTTCCCGAGTCGTTGTAAATGGTTTTCCGTCACCGGGTGTCTTTTAGTTGTATCGCGTTTCGGTATCGCGTTTCTTGAATGCGCGGATTGAATTACGCGTCGGCATGTTTCTTTCGGATTTGGTTTCTCAATAAGGAGAGTTATCAAAAAATTTTGTACAAAATCCCCCCCGCGTCCTTGACTGACCCCTTTTCCTGAAGGGGTTAGTCAGGGCGTCGCAAAATAAAAGGCTGCAAAATTTTTGAGCATCATCGCAGTTTAAAACTTTGGAGATCACCGAGTGGTTGTCTTGAGGCTGAGGTTGGACAATTTCTTCATTGTCGTCTTGACTTCGGACTTCGGGATTTTCCTGCTGGTTTGATTTCCAGAGTGCTAAACAGTTTGGAAAAAAGTGCATCAGTTGTTTTTATTCCAAAGTTAATCTCAGTTTGGTTTAGGTTCTGTGGAGTTCAAGAGGGGTAGCTAAGCCCACTCGTCTCCTCTTTATTTTCAAGTTTTCCTTTTTTGAAAAAATAACTTCTGGATTTTTTAGTTTTAAGTATTGGTTGCAACCTTTTTTGATCTCTGACGCCACAGATGGCGTATAGTCCAGTCAGTTGATGGGCCTTCATTGGCAAATTTTTTCGAGCCATCATTGGCGCCTTTTCTTGGGCCATGATTGGCAACAATTTTGGGCCGTAATCGGCGAAATTTTCGGGACCCTGTGCTTCGGGTTATTGCTTGTATGAGGCAGAATGTACGTTGGACCAACTTCAGGTTTCTCGATTTTTCTTTAGGTTTTCAATTGAAAAGATTTAAAGCCAGTGCTTTTTTTGTTAGATCAGTTCTCTTTAGATCAATAGTAATTTTCCTCCCGAAGGTTTTCACGGGTCAGTCTTTTCCTCTTGAGGTTAGATGTCCCTCTGTTTGAGGAAAAACTAATGTAATTCTCTTTTCACTTGGTTTTTGGTTTTGGTAATTTTTTCCCTTAACTTCCTTTCAGTGGAAAAAATTCTTTCATCTTCGTTTGGTTTCAAGTGTTCTCTATTGCCAGAACTGGCACAACAAGAGTGTTGTTTTAGTTTCGAGGTTTTCCGGGGTGCTGTGGTCTAGTGGCTAGGATACCTGGCTCTCATCCAGGAGGTCTGGGTTCAATTCCCGGCACGGGAACCACCACAGGTGGTACTTTGACGTGGTCGCCGGGGGTCATCCTTGTATTTTGATTGAGGATAACCGCCGCGGTGATCATGTTTAGTATCATCAGGGTGTTGAGTGTGCCAGCTCTGGCTAAGGATGAGTCTCTTGACATTTTAGGGGTTGCCGAGAGGTTATCCTCGGTTTGAAATGAGGAAGCCTCCTTGGCCGCCTCTTGTTATGTCATTAGTTTCGACGGACGGTTGTTTTTTGATTTTTAGGCCTGCTGGTTCTCTTGTCTTGGCCATAGGTGGCGAAAATTTTTAGATTGATTTTGGCGCTTGCTTGGTTGTTGACGGGTACTCCCTTGGATTTTTGGCAAGGGAATCCCGTTCAACGATCCTGCAATTGTTGAGATTGCGTTTGTGGACGTGAGCCAAATCTGGCATTTCAAAAAGAATTTTTCCCCTTTTGTGCAAAAAGGCGTGATTGCCGAAAGGTGATCCCTTGAGTTTTTAATATGGGGAAACCTGTTCGTCGATCATGTGTTTGCCCATGATTGTGTCGGGAATTGACAGTGAGTGTCAAAAAGTGAAAATTTTCTTTTTTGGTGAGTGGGTGGATATCGGATTAAGGGTCCTTGACTTAAATGAGGTCCCTTATTCCGACGGCCATTCACTGAGCCAAAACTGGCGATGGGGAAGATTTTGTCAGTTATTTGCCAATTCTGGCAGGAGCCTTCTCTCCTTTTTGGTTTTTTGGTGAATAATGATTTCATGTACCACAATTGGTATTAGGATGTGGTTACTGGGAGAGTCATCCTTGTTTTTTAATTGAGGAGACTCGCCGGTGATCATGTCTTATATCAGAGAAAGACGTCGACAGAACCCTTTTTTGTGCACCATATTTGGTTGAAAGGGAATTTTGCATGATTGCCGTGGGATTGGATCTTGGTTTGAAATGAGTCCATCTCCACGTCGATTTTGTAAAGTACCCATGATCAACAACAGATCTCAAAAAGCTAGTTATCCCTTTTGCTTTTGGTTTATGCGTGGTCGTCATAGGGGAAATCCTTTGACTAAGTGAGGATATCCACCGTGACGATCTTGTTTTAGTGCCAAAACTGACTACAAAGAGGTGGATGTTTTTGGATCCTTTTGGTGTTAGTCTGGTTGTTGGGGGGGTTTTTTATCCCAAGTCCTTGGAATAGCCATATCACCCTGATAATCAGATAAGATGCCAATTCTGGTCAGAAAGTTTTCACAATTCTAGCAGAAAAGCTTGGTCCTGTACCCCTTTTGAAGGTGATCTCAATTTGGGGGGTGGTCTGTATCTCAGTTAGAGATGAGAGGTTTTTAGATTTGCCTCTGATTTCCGACTGGGGTATTGATAGCCTCTTCAGTTCTTCAGTCCCCTTTTGTTTGTTTTAATGTGCCACATCTTGGCAGAAGTAATTTTTGATTTGAGGCTCCTTTTTTCTGAGGAATAACCTTTTAGAGACTCAGTTGGAAATCAGGAGGTTTCATTAGTTTCTTTTGATTTCCGGCTGGGAATCTAGAAGTATTCTGCAGCAGCCATATTTGACAATTGTGATTATCTCCCTTTCTTCAAAGGAACCTCTTTTGTTGCCACATACAAAGTTTTCTTCTCCTTTCAACAGGACTTTGCTTAGAAGAGGAGATTTTATTTCAGTGACAAAATTTTTGTGTTTTTGGGCAAGAAGAGAAAGGACAGATTTTGTTAAGAAAAAATGTCTGATTCAGATAAAATCCAAGAGCCCTTTAATTTGGAGGAGCCCAATGAATCATACAGTGAGGCTCAAGGGGATCAAGGTGGAGAAGCTGATCTCCCTATTTTGGTTGAGGATTCTGATGAAGAGGGGGAAGCTATGGGTGAGTTTTAGATTGCAAAATTTTTCACAGGAAGGCCCTTCTTTTAGACTTTAAAAACCTTTTATAAAATTTCTTCCAGATCTGGAGGATGAAAAGGGGGACTTAAAAGTTTCACCTCACATCCTTAATCAGTCAGGATCATCTGAGGATCCACCAACTGTTGTTTTACCCAAGTTGGCCTTGGATTTGGCCAAGAAGTTGGCTACACTTTCTGAGGCCAGCCTCTTGAGGATGGCTGATTTTGTGCCCTTTTTGGAAAACAAAAAGAATGCCCAGATAGGGCAAGATGGTTTAAAGGTAGAGCTTGATCGACTGCAAAAAGAGTCTCAGCAATATGCTGAGAATATCTCCTCTCAGAAGCGCGTTTTGCAAAAGTATGCGCTAGAGGAGAAGGAAATGGCAGAAAAGCGCC